CCGGAGCCTTTCGGCGGGACTTGGTAGGCTTGATCTGGGAGTCCTTGTACTTGTACTTGTACCTTGTACCTTGTACTCATGTCACCCATCAGTGTGTGTGAGTGCGTGCCTCCCTCATCTTGTGGACCTCGTCACAGCTGGCCTGAACGTGCTGCAGAGCCGAAGGATCGGGGTCTGAGTGAAGACTGGCAGAGACAGACACAATCAGCTATCAGTTATCAATCCTCCTGACGCGATCAATAAGCCTGTGTGTACTGACAGCCGTTCTTGGTGTTGCTCAGCCTCAGGTTGTCCATGAGCTCCCGGATCTGTTCCAGGGTGAGCTGAGCCAGTTTACTACTGGAACAGTGAAGACTGAGTACGCTATTTAACAGGTACCCAGAGACCGTCCTTACCTCTGTCCTATCTGTCCCAGTCTGTCCTCACCTGTCCGTCTGTTCTGTCCTTAGTCAGTCCTCACCTGTCGGTATTCAGTGTTCTATCCTCATCTGTCTGTCCTCACCTGTCCATCTGTCCTCATATGACTGTCCCCACCTGCCTGCCCGTCCGTCCTTACCTGTCTGTTTGTCTTCACCTGCCTGTCCTCACCTGTCTGTCCTCACCTCTGTCTCTTGCGGGGCTGGTTGTTGTTCTTGACCAGCTGGGCCTTGATGTGTGCGTGTGAGCGTATTGTGGTGATTGGACGCCCAGTGTCTCAGGATGCAGGTAGTGAACTGGTCCTCGGGGTGACAGGGACAACTCAGGACCATCTCCACCATCTCCTCACTGGGCCTGGGACACACAGATAGAGACGTTAACGGGGACCCAAGAGTCTCTAAGACGAGTGTCCAGGTGTGTTCCTGTCATACTTCTCTATGCGGAGCAGCAGCAGCAGACAGGACAGGGCCTCCGGGTGTTCTAGGAACTCAGAAATAACATCAGCATATGATGTGATGACGGCTGTGAAGGAGTAGGAGCGCACACATACCGAATCTCGCTCCCATGACTTTGTAATTGTTTACTCTTCAAACCCCGGAACAGAATGCTGTGTCTCCCACCTCTGAAGAACTCAACACCGATCTTAACATGGCAACCTTGGCTAGCCTCCTGGATTGCTGCTGATTTTAAAGCCTCCATCTCGACACTGGAAGTAAAGCCGTATCGCATTCAAAGTACAGTGACGGACCACGCTCACAAAATTTCCTCATTAGAGGCCAACGTCAACCTTCAGGATGAGCATGTTTTAGCTTTTGAAATTTCTTGTGCTTCACTGGTGGAATGCAATGCTAAACTGTTAGCTAAGGTGGCGGATCTGGAGTCTCGTAGTCGGCGTAACAACATTAGAATCCTGGGCTTACTGGAATCGATCGAGGGACCTCGTCCAGCTACTTTCTTTGATAAACTGCTTTTGGAAGTTCTCGGTGAGGATGTCCTGAGATCGCCACCCGAGTGTAACAGAGCGCACCGGGCACCTTCGGCCAAACCGAGTCCAGGCCAAAGACCGAGACCTGTCATTATCTGTCTTCATAATTCTCAACAGAAGGAGATAATTATTCGTGAAGCCCAGGCCAGGAGAGGCAAGCTTCAATATCAGGGAACCCCTGGTGCTGTCTATGAGGATTACACACCGGCGGTAATGGAGCAGCGCTGCAAATACCAAGAGGTAATGTCAGAACTTTACAAACTTGGCCTCAGGCGTGTGCTGTTGTTTTCTGCCAGGCTCAGTATTACGATGAAGGATGCTAGGAAAAGTTTTTTTTCGGTTGATAAAGCTATCATCCCTGGCCCTGCTTCCAACTAGCAAATGCACACTTCTTTCCGGTGCAATCGTCTTCAATCAACTATATAGCAGTAACTGAACAGAGTTGTTTTTTTGTTGTGTTTTTTTTTCCTTCTCCAGTTGACTATCTCTGCCGTGAACGGACACAAGGACCCGTTTTGGCACTTTTCCCCTGTCAGCCTGTCAGTTTGGTTTGCTGACTGTATGGTTTTCCAGAGTTGATTTTGTTTCAATTGAAATTTGATTGCTGCCAGGTCCTGTTGTTATGCCTGATTAAATGATTTGCATATTCTGTTGAACTGTCTGGTATGTCTTGTTTCCAATATGATGGGTGTCTCTTCCTCACAGGACCTATTAGCACTTATGTTGTGGAAATGTATCTTTTGGGCTGTCCGGTTGGTGTGTTGTGCATTGGTTGGTCATCAGTGATCTTATAACTGGTATGTTGCCTTATATCCACTAAATTTTTGGCATTCTTTTACTGTTGTTATTTTTTGACTAGGTGCACATTAATTCCCATATTTTGTATGTTTGGGGTTATCCATTGTTTATGTATGGAAAGAGATCTCTCAAGCCTGATTTCCTACAGTTTAGCTGTAGAGTTTTGTTTGATATTGCTCAGACATGGACTGCTTGTTTGTTATTTTGGTTTTATTTCGTTGTTTATGTTTGTCTTGGTTTATCTGTCTGGTTGCTCTCGCCACCTTTGTCTGGTTACTCTTGCCACTTTTTCCCCTCACCAACTTTGCTTACTGATATATTTCAACCTCTATCATAAATATAATAAACATTCATTTGGCTAAAGGTTTAAAGGTTATTCACCTTAATATCAGGAGCCTTACCTCAAAAATTTAACCTTCTTAGAGCATGGGTTACTCTTTATAGACCTAGCATTATCACCATTTCTGAAACATGGCTAAATAGTAATATTACAGACGAGGAAGTAGAAATCGATAACTATGTTCTGTATAGAGCTGATAGGCCCACTAGAGGAGATGGGATAGCTGAAATAGTACGTGGCTTTAAATTTAGTTTCGGAACGTGCCATACCTAATGTAGAGCCAGTTAATTTTGAGTGTCTTTTTATCAATATTATTTGTCATAAATATAAACATTTAACTATTGGAAATATTTACAGGCCTCCCTCTGCTCCGACTGATTGTATGAATTGTATTTTGTCAACTGTTAATTCTCTTGAAAGACAAAATGAAGTGATTATCCTGGGTGATTTTAGTAGCAACTGGCCAGATTGCTCCTCTGCTGAAAAAACTTATTAGGCAGTGTAAATCTCATTCAATTAATTAAGGAGCCAACTAGAGTTGATTGTCGGTCCTCATCCCTGCTGGACTGGATACTTGTCACTAATCCTGATAGGATAATTACTTCAGGTGTTATGTCAGACTGTTTTAGACACCCAAGATGGATGAGCTTCGTACTAACCAAAGGAGCTGTTTCGAGTATTGGGAATCTAACCTTATGGTGTTCACTGAGACGTGGCTTCACCAAGGAGTCCCGGACTATCTGCTCAACTTGGGTGGCTACTCGCTGGTGCGAGCCGGGAAAAGGAACGGATTAGGAATCTGCATGTACGTGAGTTACAAATGGTGTAAACAATACACAGTGAGAGAGACTATATGCAGCCCTGATGTCGAACTGCTTTGCATATCTATGAGACATCACTACTTGCCAAGGGAGTTTGGCAATATTATTATAGCCGCTATTTATGTTCCACCCAGCGCCAACACAGGCTGAACCGCCGAGCTCATAGCAGAGTGCGCACATGAACAGTTGCAGCGCACACCTGGGGAGCCTTTATTTTTTTGGGGGTGATTATAATCACTGCAAACTGGAGAGCGTGCTGCCAGGTTTTCAACAATATGTAAAATGTGACACGAGAAATAACAGGATCTTAGATAAATGTTATGGAAATATAAAGGGGGCATATTCAGTCAAGCCAACCCCCCCCCTCCCCCAACTCAGACCATAATACATTACATTTAATACCGTACCTTACAAATCTGTATACAAGTCAAGTAAACCTGAACATAAAAATGTGTGGAGAGATGATGCAATTGAAACACTAAAGGGGTGCTTCATGTGTACAGATTGGTCGATTTTCCATTCATTAGAGCTTGATGAGGCTACATCAGATTTTTTGTTGACAGTGTGGTGGCCAAGAAGGACATTGCAGTCTACCCCAACAACAAATCCTATATTACAAAAGAAATCAAAGACTGTATAAATAGGAAAAAGCAAGCCTTTCGAAGCAAAGACAGAGCTGGATTGTCAGTGGTCCAAAAAGAACTTAAACTACTCCTTACTAATGCGAGGGAAAAACACAGGCAAATGATGGAACAAAACTTCCAAACATCAAATACCAAAAAACTTTGGGACACAAGGAAATCAGTAACTAATATGAACCCTGCAAAACAACAAATTATCACACTGAATGACCAACAAAAAGCAAATGAACTGAATGACGTTTACCTGCGATTCGATTCCCAAAATTTCCCTCAGGAATGTGACAGTGTTCTGCAGACCCTGCCAGCCACTGACACTACCTGTTATCTGGAAGTGGACCCATTTAGCATCCAGCGACTCTTCAGCAAAGTGTGAACAGGCAAGGCCACAGACCCCGATGGCCTCCCAGCCTTTCTGCTCAAAAGCTGTGCAGAAGAACTAACAACGGCATG